ATATATATATATATATATATATATATACACACACACACACACCTTGATTTCTTTCATAGGAATTTGGAACGACTGTGTGTATATATGAGAATTAATCACTAGGTCGTCGTGCAAGTGTGCTATGCACGAGTTTATATAACACCGATTCAGTGCAATCAGTTTTTGGTGATGCGTGCTTAGTCGTGACGGGATATGGACTGTTTTGTGCAGGAAGAGCGATGTGTGCCGTTTACTCGCGGACCTGTGTTCGAAACTCCGAAGAGTACTAATTAAAATTCTCTAACCAGTATGATAATTTTATTTGTATTAAATACACCTCTCATCGCTTGCAAAAGAACGCATCATTGACCGACATCAATTGAGAGCGATAGATGATATCGGGAAACATTATCTTAATTATCAAGCCAGAAGTTAATTATACTTACTGGGCTGGAGGAATGGTTGAAGGTTCTAGATGCTTGTTTTATGCTGACATGTTAACTGTTTCTGATTGTGATGCGAAGCCTAGGATGAAAATTAATGTATATCTGCTCTGTTAATCTTGAAAATGACGTGTCAGCTTGGTATTGTCAGCAGCCGACATAAGAACCGGGTCGGCTTCATTTCTCTTAACATCAATAATAACAGCACATCTGAGTAATAATTTTCACAGTATGTGCATCGGAACCGCAAATAAAAAGCCTTTTTGTGTTCGATTGTCATTTGTATGGAAAGGTGCTAAAGTGGAAAAAAAAATAATCGAGAAAATTACTAACGTTGAAAGCATGGGATTTGCACAAATTCCTGTTTAAAGGATTTACAACACTTAGGATATTAATCCTAGGTTTTATTCTTTTAACATTATGAAATCTTCAGCCAAAGGGAAAAATACTTTTAAATTGCTTGGGGAGAAACTTCGGTTCACTGTCAAAGTTTGTAGACGCACAAATGGAAAATGAAAAGTTGTGAATGTATCACTGTAATTGATTATGTAGACACGAGGAATAACAACTTAATATAGAACCACCGTGATTGCTTACATAGAGGCAATTAAATATGAGTAGAAGAAAGATCTGGATTATATTTATGAGTATTATTTTATTCTGTGTAATATACTCCCGTATATTTGGTTATCTCAAGGCATACATTATTGTTAAAAACTATACACATCTGAATAAGGAAATTATCAATTGGTTCGTCATAAAGAAAGCAATACCGGGATATTAATGTATCGGGCACAAGATTGTGTTAGCATCAAAGCGACGTTCCGAATAGATGACCGACGATATGGCGGCTGCATCAATATATCAATGTAAATTTTGAATCATAGCCTGTGTATTAGAATTTCGGAGAAATTGACAAAAGGAATAGAATGGGAACAGCGAATTCATAATAGTTTATCTGTCCTTGCTTTGTTAACCCAACATAATCATACAAAATTAAATGCTTATGTGCAGGGTACATGAAAAGTGAACATTACTCTTGAGATATTGTTTAATTTCCACCTACTATTTTATGTCACGTGCATATTTATTACTGGAACTGCGTTTATTTTCTACGATCGTTAAATAAGCAATCGGAACACTTCGTGGTTTTTATAACGAAGTGAAGATTTGAAATGCTTTGGAAAAGGGTAGGGGTGAAGCTGGAAAATGGCGGAAAACTGAGTCACATTCCAAAGCAACAAAGCAAATGAGAACCATGTCAAATTCATTATATTGCTTCATGGAAATATCCGCATAAGTTCGATAAAAATAATTTGCTACTTGAAGAAATAATAATATTAATAAAAATAATAATAATAATAATAATAATAATAATAATAATAATAATAATAATAATAATAATAATAATAATAATAATAATAATAATAATAATAATAATGACTTTGTTTAACGCCTAATCTTTAGAAGCTCTAAGCGCTTTTCAACATTGGAAACACCTATATAATTATATGATTAGAAAAGAAACATGCCATGAAATTAGAAAACAAAAAAACATGCTGAAAATAAATAAGGTAAGGAAACATTCTTTTATTTTTAAATCTGTTCTTGCAATCGAAATAGATGAGTTTTAAGAGCGCTCTTGTATGAGATCACTGCATCTTTGTGTTTAAGTTCAGCAGGCCATTCGTTCCACTTTGCTGGGCCCTGATATGCAAAAGAACATTGTCCATAATAATGTTAATACGAGTGATAAAAGAGAAGTGTAAGTATATTGCTGATGTGTACACATGGGTGAGGTCGGATAGATATGTTGGATTGGAACCCGTCAGTGAGAAATAGCACAACGCACAAATTTTATGTTTGATTCTGGATCGATTGGGTAGCCATTGTAGAGTACAGAGCAGGGGCATGTGTGCCATGATTATGGTATTCAACAGATGACCCAAGCAGCTGTGTTTATAATATTTTGAAGTTTCTGGAGTAGATATTAAGACGAACCAGACAGAACTGAGTTATAATAGTCCTGTCTTGAAAGTACTAAGGAACACACGAGTATTTTAGTGGCATATCCAACTGAAACATACAATTTTACATAAAGATAATTGCGAATGGAGCTGATGCGTCTCAGCTCAAGATATGCAGCCCTGCATATGTTCATGACATGTTAGTGCAGTGAAAGAGTACTGTCAAGAGTAACACCGAAGTTTTGTACTGACTGTGTTAATATCATGATGATGTTGCTTATATTTATTGTTTGAGGTGAAGGATGTGCATAAGAAAGTTTGTGTTGTAATCAGAATGGCTTCAGATTTATCATCAGTGATCTGCAGCTTGTTACAAAAAATCTTGGGAATATTTCAACAAAGAATACGTAATATCAGATGGATCTCCTATTGCCAATATATCAACGCCACCTGGCGTTTGTTTAGCAAACTATCATTTGCTTCAGCGTTATATGATTTAGTATGTCCGGAAGATATAGAGACAAAATCATTTGAAACAAGGAAATTTCATCCGGTAGGAAAAAGGACGGATTACTTGATGTTACGAAGTCAACTGTCCAAGGAATGAATTATATCTTATGGGCATTTAGGCGTGCAAAGACTAAGGATAATACGAGTCTGGTTGTCATATTAAGTTGACAACCTATAAACGTAGCGTGAACTGAACATATTCTTTCGACTTTCAACGCGAGATGCCTTTCCTGAGTTAGAAATTACCTATTCAACTCCAGACTTAATGCAGTCTTACAAAGTATTTTTCTGCTTGAAAGATAGTCACGTTCGGAAGCAGACGATAATTATATATGTTATAAATGCAAACATGCGTTTGATACAACAGAATCACGTAATTGTCGATATGATCCTTGACCTACGAAGGTCAGAGTAATGTCCCTTTCAGTCATTAAGGTCAATGTTATCTAGTTTTGCTATTGAGAATAATAATGGAGCTGTTAATTTACCCGACTTGCATAAAACGGTCTAGTGATTCGACCATCCAAAAAACCCATACTGTAAAAAAAATGTATTGAACACTGCTATCAGATGTCAGGAACGCACATGATGTATTTGTGATATGTGTTAGAACAAACCAAACCAATCAATGCTGTTAATGAATGTATGTGTGTGTGTGTGTGAGTTTGTGTGTGTGTGTGTGATTTGGATTTTTTTATATAACTTTAACAATTTTTCAACATATCTCTATGTCTGGCAGTTTATTGTGATGTCTAGCACTGGGGTATCATGCCGCAGACATGTTGCATGATGCCGCACCAAGTCACATTATCCTGACACCAGGCTGACCATTCCAACACTAACCTCTTAATGACGAGAGCCTTGCGAGGCAGTTGTAAGTACCAATTTTATATGTCTTGGCATGAATTGGCCGGGAATCGAAGCTGCGAAACTCTTGCAGCCTTGCGGACGTTCTAACCACTAGACCATTGGAGCGGTTACCTGTAAATAGGGACTGAATGTCCAAACTATGAAGTCAGTAAGCAGTGTTGCAAAGATTAATGTTGTAAAGATCATGAATTAAGATCTAAATTACTACAAAAAATTGTAGTAGTTATAATTACTCTGTAAAACTGAAATAATCAATCACAATTACTTTTTGTCTGGATGATTAGAAGAGCATTTTGTTACCTCCTGATCAGTGTCAGAACTCACAATTCTCGTCGGTTAATTCACGTTTTGCACATAACAATGTTCATTGCACGAAGAGTTCAAAATAACACATCGAATACAATATTAAAGAACTACTTTCACAAAATTCATGAACAGTTCTTTTTCTTTCCGTTATTTTAATCGTGCTGTTATGCTACTGAGAAATAGGGCAAATAGAAATTGTAATTTAATGTAATTATTTTTGTATAGTTTTCTAGAATTTGTAATCAATTACAATAACTGATTACCTTTTTGCAGAAATTGATCAAGTTTCATTACTGTACAATACTGCCGATAAGTTCAACAAAACACGCCAAAACACATCACAATGTCAAACTATATCGATTCATATCCCCTGACCAGAAATGAAATAAAATGCCGAATCTTCCCAAAGTAGAACTTCCATGCTACTGCATGAGATCGAGTAAATAGACCACGTGTTATTGATATTGTAGCAGATTATCTCGAACCATGTAGCTTAGTCTTTTTGCTAATGTGCCAGATTATGTCAGACCGTGTAAATTCCTCTTATTGCTAGTACCAGATTATCTTGGACCGTGTAAATTCCTCTTATTGCTAGCATAGCAAATTACCTTTACCATCTTATCGTTTTACTTTCATCTGTTTGGTTTTATATTGCTGGTCGATACGAAACCATTTAACACTTTTAAAAGTCGCAATCAATCAATCAATCAACCAATCAATCAATCAATCAATCAATCAATCAATCAATCAATCAATCAATCAATCAATCAATCAATCAATCAATCAATCAATCAATCAATCAATCAATCAATCAATCAATCAATCAATCAGGCTCTTAAATCGTTGTATTGCAAATGTATTTCTTTTTTGACTCATTACAACGATAAATGTGATCAGTTATGTTATTAATAAATCGTACTGCTACGATGGCCAAGTGGTTAGAGCATCCGCCTTGGATGTGAGAGGTCGTGGGTTCGATCCCCGGACAAGTCATTCCAAATACTTACAAAAATGGTACTAACAGCTGTTTCGCTTGGCACACACAAATACACACACACGCACGCACACACACATACACACAGTTCTTTAAGCAACAGTAAAAGAAAAAAATCCCTTTACATCCGGGGACTCTCAAAAACGCTTATTACGTTTACGCTTAGTGCCCTATGCAGAGGATACGTCTTCTTGAATACTGAATCAAGTATGTTTACCTGTTGCCCTTACTGGCGGTAAATGAAACTTACTCTGTAATGCAGAATATACTTATTTTAATGTATAAGATACATTTCAGCCCAAAATTACCTAGCAGTATCATACCAGGACATGAGATTGTTCTTTCATATTTTCATTTTCTGCTAATTTCCAATAATGGCACGCGTTCAGTCTGCCGCTTCTAAACAGATCTTACACTTCGTGCAGAGAAGTTCTGTGTTATGCTGTAAATATGGAACATTATATCCAAAATCAAATATCATCTAATTCATCACAAGAAAGTCAGTTCGGATATTTTTCGTCCAATACAAACATGTTTATTTAGTAACTCGAGCACCTGCATAGGCAGATCGTTCGTTCTTTCTGCTTTAAAATACTTTTCAGCTTTGAGACAGCGAAATTCAAAGAATATGATAGTTTCCAGTTGCCTGTAAATATCTCTTAAGATATTAACCAAATAAAAAGCAACTAGTTAATAAGATTCTGCTATTCACGCTTTCTCCGTACGTAAAATTTTGCATTGGCTTAATAACGTACATATCTAATTAAAAAATGAAAGTGTGAACTTTTTCAAGCCATTATATTTTTTTCTTCTGGAAATAAAACAACAGGTAACCTTCAAAAACATATTTTAAGCACATTTGGAAAACAAAAGCTCACTCGAAGAAATATTGGTAGGTAGGCAGCCATATTTATAATGCATCATTTTGTTTTCTGTTCTCGAAAAGAGGAATAATTATGCTTGACAATATTTGGTTTTGGAAAGATAATAGTGTTTTGGTGTGAAAGGCAGAAATACATTCAAGTCTAACTACCTTACAATTAACAAATATTTACAGTGATCACTATAAATTAACTCCACGGAATTGGTTTGTTTTACAATTAACAATACAGAATGTAGTCATTGAAACTTTACAATTTATTGGTGTGTGTGTTTGTGTTTGTGTGTGTGATTTGGATTTTTAACATAGCTATAACTGTTTTTCAGTCCTATCGCTACGATGTCTGCAGTGTGGCAGTTTACAGTGATGTCTAGTACTAGGCATCATGCCGCAGACAGGTAGCAGGATGTCCCACCCAGTCACATTATCCTGACACCAGGCCAACCAGAAAAGTTCAATTATTAAGCAAATATGATTGATCTATATTAATAGTCAATATGCAGATAGTTCGGCAATATTCTGGAGGCATGTGATGGTGATAATAATTGTTAGGAAAAATGTTAGATTATGAAACTTAATTGAGTGCAAATGGAGACAGAAGATAACTGTATTTACTTTCATGCAATTTGCTTTCCTAGTTGTGAAATAATATAAGACTGATCTGTTAAAATGCATATCCTACATACACAAGCACTGGCCAAATTTATGACATCAAAGTGAATTTAATGAATATCGTGGATAGACGTCTGTTGACGTTCTATATTAACTAATTTTGAATGAAAGTTAGAGATGAAAAATAAGATGGTGCTAATCCATCTCCTATCAAGTGTTTTTAAGAGTATTCGATGAAAAGTCATATGGGGGAATACCTAATGCTTAAAGCTGACAACAGTTAGCATGTTCGTATTAGTTTACTTAATTCGGTATCATTTTTGAGTAGATTTGATGCTTTGATACCAGCCTGCAAGAAGAAAAAAAATGAAAATAGGGGTATAAGAGAGAAAATTAAACAATAGTGCATCCATTCGCCCACTCGTAATGAAAATTAGTTAAAAAAACTGACAAAATCAAAAGGAAGTTGAGAAGTTTGACGGTACAAAATTCATTAAAACCTTATCTAGGAAAAAACCTTATTCACAAATTTGGAAGTAAGGCAAGATTATTACGGTGTGCGTTTTCTCACTGAGAGTAAAGTTTACTTTTTAACAATCATTATGAATACTTCGGACATGCGCAGAGTAGCCAACATGGACAATTGCTCCCAAAACCAAAACTAGCAGACAAACACAGATTACCAAAAATGGACAAATGCTTCCAATGCAAGGGACGTGTACCAGTTATACTGGCCATAAAGTATAGCCTGTCGTATGCTGTCAAATGGCGTAAAACCTACAACAAAAACAACGACACCAACACAAATTTGAAGCATATATAAAAGCTGAATGTTTCCCAAGACGTAACTACTTTCTTATTTATGCTAAACTCATATGGGAAAGCTAATTTCAGCAGACATCCGGTCTAATCTGTCTTTTTTATACCAATATCATATGGTCTAGCTAACTTTGGCAAACAACCAGTCCAGTCTGTCTTTTCTGTACCAATATCATATGGTCTAGCTAACTTTGGCAGACATCCAGTCTAATCTGTCTTTTCTATACCAATATCATATGGTCTAGCTAACTTTGGCAGACATCCGGTCTAATCTGTCTTTTCTATACCAATATCATATGGTCTAGCTAACTTTGGCAGACAACCACTCCAGTCTGTCTTTTCTGTACTAAAATCACATAGGTTATCTAAATTTGGCAGACACAAATCTAAATAAAGCTACAACCATTAAATTTTAGCATGCAATAAACAGAGGGGCTCAGACACAACAGCTGAATTCAAAACAAAGATAAACAAGTAACGTCCACATTACCCATGACGTTAAAATTTTTTGAGAACTGATGAAGTGAAAGTTTAACAGATGTTCTTAACACATACTAAATCTTTTGTAGAATTTAAATTTAGTCTCAACGATGTCTATAAACTATCAGCATTCACTGAGATAGTCTATGTATGCAGATAGCAATTAAGCCCTGGATTATCATTTAAAGATGTAACTATAGCCCAAGAAAGGTATGCAGTAATCTGTCTGAAATGTTTACCAAAACAACACGGTCTTTCTGCGTGAATTCCTTTCGCAATAGTCGAGTGGATATAGATGCCAAAAACGCATTATAAAGTCTGTCTGATATAAAGATATATAAATAACAGTAGGTTGAATAATAATTTAAATTACTTTGTTTTTGGCTCCCAATTGAAATTGAAACACCTTTTATACTTATTTAAAACTAAAACAGAAATTAGATAATTGACGTCTTAGAAATTGTACAGATATTTTCTGATCTAAATCGACACTTAACATTCTTAAAATAAACTTCACGGTTTTACGATATTGATATGTTTGTAACACATTCAGAACAAAACAAGTGGTTACTTATTAGAAAATAAGTAAACCCGTCTCGACCATTCACTAGGCATATGATGCGAAAGAGCAAACATGGAACAGCATTAACAAAACTTTCGGACATTTCTGAGCAAAACGTCAAAAGCAAATGTCGATTAAAGTCTCTGTAGAAAAGGAGTCGACAACCTACGGCACTCGTGCCACAAAGTGGTACATTAAGAGGTTTTGTTTGGCACGCAGAGGACAGCCAAAAATCTCTATTCTGACAGTATTACTCTCTTACTGTCGGCACGCGCTCGATCAATTTATAATTAGTCTGGGGAAAAAATGATACGCTATGTAAAACAGGTTGCCGACTCCTGTTATAGAACGTTCTTGAAAATTGCCATGCACATAATCACTTCAGATTGATTTTACCTGATAGAAAGTAAACGATGTCATATACTAAGCTGTCCTTAATTTATGGTTTTAGGATTGGGAACAATCTTACCGTTTTAGAGCATGGAACAATAATACAGTTTGCGTCATCAATAAATAATTATCACATCATGTACAACACATTCCTTATGTTTCAAAGAAAAATGTCATTTTAGCATGAAAAGTTTACTTATTTCAGAACAAAACAATCATCAAAATATATGTAGAAATGGGGATCTTATCCAAAATTAAAATCGTTTTTGGTGAAAATGGAAATAACATATCTGTAGCAAACTACTATTCATAGAATAAATCTTATTTATGATTGCGAAGAAACTGGACTTTGAAGACCTAACGAGTATTTGTCTGGAAACAATAGACTTTTTTCACTAATCCATGAATTTAAATACTCTAGAAGACTTATGTTTCCCAAACCAGAAACATCTACGCCAAAAAAGTGTATCCTAAACACGCGTCGTGTTGTAAATATTATTATTGATAATTCGTATGTGTAAAACCACCTTATTTGGTCGAGAACATAACATTTTCAATCAGAAGTAAATATGAATGTTTCTCGTCTTAAATACAACCCATACACAAAACTGAGTGAAAGATCAAATACACAGGAATCAAGTGATTTTGCGGAACTAATTTGTCTTATCTCAGTCTCGATAGTATTGACCTTTGACCTATTGATCTCCAAAGCCAATAATGCCTTTATTGTTGCTGATTTGAGTCATTTACATAGCTAGTTCATAGTTTGTAGCAATAGACTTGAGTTATCTTGTGGAGGTCATTTTCCTGTCTTCATTTTACCGTGACCAGTGACCTTTTAACCCCAAAATCAATACGTCTTTCTTGCCTGAATTGCATGCTACCTTCGAAGTTCAGTAATGATATATGTGCAGAATTGAATACATTTTGTGGAACGAATATATTCCTTCGCAGTGTATTTGACTTTCATCTTTGACCTTTCGGTCCATGAACATTATATATCTATCTAGTTTCAAATGCAAGCCACTTACTGAGTTTGGTCAAAGTTTGTGTCACTGAACTCAAGATATCGTGCAGAAACTATGATCAGTTTATAGTTATATGCATCATTTAACCCTTGAAATGTTGACCTCCAGAAACAGCAGCATTTTTCTTGTCTTATATACAATTTATTTGTAAAGTTTGGTTGAGGTATCTGTTAAACAAGTCAAGTTATTGTGCAACTACTATTTTCATTCTATCGGTTTCTTGCACCT